ATTGAGATTTGATTTGCGATTTTAAATTTGCAACGTCAAGCTTCAGCTCAGTAATGTCAATAATGTGCAGCACAGTATGGGTATCATTACCCTGCTGAAAAAAACAATAGAAACTATCACAGAAATTCTTATAGTTTCCATTAAACCATTACAAAATTCCTTTTTGTTTTGGGTATTATTCCAATAGGAATTACTGTTGTTCCATTGGTTGCTATCTCCCAGATTGCATCCCACCAATAGAATCCATCAAATATACACCATTATAGTTTACATTAAAACCAAACGAATTCCCATTATAACCCTGAAATCCATTACATTTGTTATTGTGTTTTGGGAGGGGTTCTATTGTTTTGTTTTGTTTTTCAGGCAAGATTATAATGGTATAACTACTTTTACAGAATTAACTTAATTACTGAATTTTACTGAAAATATTTGTTTAATTTTTATAAATAAAGAACTGTATTTCTTAAGTCAATTATTAAAGTATTACATAGGCTGATTTATTCATTTTAAGTATTTGGGATTTTAAGAGCAAGTGGAAAATGTGCTGAATGTTTCATTTCATCCAAGTGAAATTAGCAAGCAGTTAGACTGAATTTACATTAGTTTTAAACGCGGAGCCAGGTGCGAGTCGACACAGGTTGCGTGCGTGCGTCAAGCCTCGTCCATACTGCCAGATGCGCTCGTGGAGACTTGCGGTGCGGAGCCGGGTGCGAGTATAAACCAGCATTACGAGACAGACTGCGTGAGTGCGGCAAGCATGAATGGCTCGTCCCTGACGCGGGATTCACGCCGCGTGAGGCAGAGAGGAGCGAGTATGAGAAGCATTCACAGACACAGGCTGTGTGTGCGCTCTTCTGAATTGGGAATAGCGAACATGCATCATAAACTTATTTCAAATTAATCTGTTGGGGAGATAAAATGTGTAAGATAACGTTCACGTACTAACAAAAACATCTAAGAATGTGTCTTTTATTCTCCAGTACTGAAAACAGAACCGATACGGGAGCTTTTGATATGCGCTGACGCAGCTTTTGGAAATTACCTTTTTTGTTCGTTGTCTGTCATTTCGAAGCTTAAGTTGCATAACTATCGATCTGACCCAGTAGACGCCATAATCCCACTGTCTCTCTCCCGGTTTTTTTTTGTTTTTTTAAATGGTGGGTGTTTACGCAGTTGGCTAGAGCAGTGCTGATTGGGGAGAATGGAGGTGCGCTCACTCTATTGGTTAGTAAGACTGCAACTCAAGGCTGGCAGTCATGCATATGCTCTGGAGTAATATCGCGTCCATATCGCAGGCTTTGCGATGTCTCAAATCGCGATTTTGATTCTATGTCGATTAATCGCACAGCCCTAATGTCTATGCATGTGTGTGTCTGTGTAACAGTCCATGTGTGAATGTCACAGCTTCAGCCTTCAGCTGAAATTAAAAATGCCATGCTGAGAACACTTATTTATTTATGCAGATTTTGAGACAATGACTTATTTATGTGTTGGTTTGTTGTTGTAGTTCCCGCTAACTCTAATCTGACTGCTAAATGAAGCTTGCACAGTGGAAATAGTTTTCTTTTTGTGGGTTTTGAGAGGGATGGAGACAGCAAGAGTGTATAGCGTTTATGATGCCCTCTAGTGATTGGTCTTTGAGTCTGCGTATTTAATACATTGTTTCTTTCAAACTGTCTGAATGAACCTGCTAAAGTGGATTCAGAATTAGTTACTCATACTGGACCATTTTAAATCACATACTCGCTACACAATCGTGTTTGGCTGTCTTAATCTGTGAATTGTGTATATTGTAATGTTTTTAAACTTTAGACATATTTTGATGTACATTTTTTCTCTTCTACAGGTTCTACATAGAAAGTATCTCTTACCTTAAGGACAATGCCACAATAGAGTTGTTCTTCCTCAATGCAAAGTCCTGCATCTGTAAGGTAAACTGTTTTCACTGTTCTATCACTAGAGGGCAGTATTAGCTAATGCCCCTTTACATCCATTTGTTACTTCCATCTGTGCCCATGGAGCACCTTATAAATGCCACATTACAGACTTCTCTGGAAAATGACATCATGGCAACGCTGATTGACTGATGGTACTGCAAGAATGTGCAGAGTGCCAAGCTCTTCACTAGCACGTATATTAACATATATTACATTTATTATTCATGTACACCATGATTACAAAGTTTGGGGTGAGTAAGGTTTTAAAATAATCTTTTATTCACCAATAATGAATTGAACTGATCAGAAGTAACCATAAGGACTAGACATTGAGACATTGCGTTTACATGCACCCTCATAATGCGATTATAATGGGATTTTGGCAATATTCCGATTAAGCATTACCTCATGTAAACGCAATACTTTGATCTAAATAATGCGATTAAGCTAACAGATTCAGATTATAAATAACAGATTATAATGGAACTTTGTGAAATTCATCACGACACCAAATAACCTTCCAATACGTCTGTAACCATGTTTTGCATTTGATGTAAGTGGACAGTGGCCAGTAACACACCTATGAGTTCATCATTTGTGCTGAGGAATATGCAAATAATGACGGTAAATGTAACCATACTTCTGCAAATAATCAGAATGTTGAAAATTGCATGTAAACTGGAGTGAAGAGGTTTGCTCGTGTCATGTAAACATCTTACTGTGATTAAAGGGGTCATATGATGCTATTTTAAAGATCATTATTTTGTGTATTTGGTGTAACAGAATATGTTAACATGCTTTAATGTTCAAAAAACACATTATTTTTCAAATACTGTACATTATTGTAGGTCCTCTATGCCCGCCTCTCTCAAACACGTCGTTTTCAACAAAGCCCCCTCCTTTGACAAGTGCAGTCTGCTCTGATTGGCCAGCTGACCCAGTCCATTGTGATTGGCCGAACACCACAAGCACGTGTCGGAAATGTAACGCACCTTACCATAATCGATTCAGCTTTCAAAGTAAATATCAAGAAAGTTAATAATGTTGTTAGTTTTACCATCAGTTCAAGCCTGAAAGGGCAACAGAGCCGCGTGACAGACTGTGATGATGCAGTACACAAGCCGCGGTTAAGACAGCTGACGTGCTATGATTTCTGACAGGCAGTTCACTCTCCTGTGATGTGACCCTGTTCCCCTCTCACACACACGCACAAACACGACGCGTTACTCTGCGCTGCGCAAAACTCCACATTTGAACAGTCAATAGCAAATACTTAAACTAATAACAAAACATACTTACAGTCGCTGATTCTGAAGCACCAGATTTTTTTAGAAATAGCCTTTGTGCACAGCCAGCCTTGTACTCTTCTAGGTTAAAAAAACTGTCGTCCATAAAATGCGTTGCACAAATTCGAACATCTGGGTTGTGCCGTACTTTTGTAAATAAATCTTAACCAATGATTCCTAATTGCATCTACTTCCGGAAGGCCAAATAAAGTGCTTTTGCTTTCGCACTGAATCACACAGCGTCTCCCTGACATGACTGCATCAACACTACTGCTGTTCCTGAAACCACGCCTTCTATCTTTGCGTGCACATTTGGGCGGCATTATGCTAATATTTCCACATAGTGACGTAGATATGTGGGGGCGTGTTAGAACGAGCCGTTTTAGGTAGGTGTGGCTGACTCTTAACTTTTATAAAGAATCTCTTTGTATTTGAAACTTTAGTCTTTGCAACTTTACAGATCTTCTTTATGCACCAAGAGCTTGTAACACTTCAAAGAGAAAGGAAAACTTGAAATCGCATCATATGACCCCTTTAAGTCCTTACTCTGATTATTGGAAATAATCACATTATTGGTGCACATGTAAACGTAGTCATTGTTACAAAAGATTTCAATTTCAAATAAATGCTGAGCTTTCTTGGGGAAAAAAAAAACGGTTTCCACAAAAATATAAGAAAAATATTAAATATAAGAAAAAACAGTTTTCAATATTGATAATAATAAGAAGAAATGTTTCTTGGGCAGCAAATAATTAGAATGTTTTCTGAAGGCCTGGAGTGATGGGTGCTAAAATTCAGCTTTGCATCACAGGAATAAATTGCATTTTAAAATATCTTTTGAACCCCAAACTTTTGAATGGTAGTGTTTATATATAATATATATAATTAAATATTTCCGATAGCTGTTATTCTGCCATTTTAATTTGTTTCAAAAGTAGTGCTTAATTATTCCAAAAAACATTTCGTATTTGTGAATGTGTGTGTGTGTGTGTGTATCACTGGTCACATACCGCACATTCCCACCATGAGCTCATTGCTCACACGTTACTCTAGAGTCAGCTTTCCAATATATGCCAGTACTGTGTGTGACATTCCTGAAATTCTTGTGTTTAGCAAAGGTAATGAATCGCTCCATTTGACTTGGTCATTGAAGTAATCAAGACCCCCTACACTTCAAAAAAAAATAAATGCTGAGCTTTCTTGGAAAAAAAAAAAAACAGTTTCCACAAAAATATAAGAAAAATATTAAATATAAGAAAAAACAGTTTTCAATATTGATAATAATAAGAAGAAATGTTTCTTGGGCAGCAAATAATTAGAATGTTTTCTGAAGGCCTGGAGTGATGGGTGCTAAAATTCAGCTTTGCATCACAGGAATAAATTGCATTTTAAAATATCTTTTGAACCCCAAACTTTTGAATGGTAGTGTTTATATATAATATATATAATTAAATATTTCCGATAGCTGTTATTCTGCCATTTTAATTTGTTTCAAAAGTAGTGCTTAATTATTCCAAAAAACATTTAGTATTTGTGAATGTGTGTGTGTGTGTGTGTGTGTGTATCACTGGTCACATACCGCACATTCCCACCATGAGCTCATTGCTCACACGTTACTCTAGAGTCAGCTTTCCAATATATGCCAGTACTGTGTGTGACATTCCTGAAATTCTTGTGTTTAGCAAAGGTAATGAATCGCTCCATTTGACTTGGTCATTGAAGTAATCAAGACCCCCTACACTTCAAAAAACCCCTCACCTAAAACCCGTGTGTGTGTATGTGGCTTTGTCCTGCTATTGATTACACAGGAAATAGCTGAAGTGATTTGGATAGACCCTTCAGTGATAAGTAAGCAGATCAGGTCATTAACAGTGAGAGAGATAAGATAAGAGACAGATTAATGTGATCCTGAACTTAAGGGTCTCTTTCTCTCTGTCTGTCTCCAGGAGCTCATAGAGGTGGACAGCGAGGTGGTGTTTGAACTGGCCTCTTATATCTTACAGGTAAGATCATGTGGGGCTGTTCATCATTTTGTGCACCTTCATAAACCTTGCAATGAACTTTCATAAAGTTCATATATCTCAAATACACGTGTGAGTCACATTTATGTCACTACAGTATTTCAGCCTGGCGGGGTGCTTTATTTTAAATCTAAAACAGGATGTTTCCTTTGTACTGTAAGTTATCCATACGAGGGAAATACTTTGAAGAAATATGGGTTTCCTTTATGACTCTGTGTATGTGTGATCCAGGTGTAGTATCAGGTATGTTATGTGTGTTTGACCTTTTGGAGGATTCAGTCCAGATGGCTGCGACTACATCCCCTACTGAGACACACATGCACCGTTCTGTGTATCAGAGGATACAATCTTTCCAAGCTGTCTCTTCTACCATCAAACACTCATTATTGATACTAAAATATGTCTTTTTTTTCTCCCACAGGAAGCTAAAGGAGACTTCACGAGGTAAGAGGATGGTTTGAATGAATGAATCACCTTCCAGTGACCTCTTTTACACTCACGTGCTATCAAAGTCTCTATCAGTGTGTCATTGCAGAGTGAAAGCAGATCCAATTTGTGGCGTATATCAAACTCTCCTTCCCACATAAGCACATGCACACGATTCAAGAGAGATGGAGAGAAAGAGAGAGATATGGGGGTGTGAACCCTGGGAACGGAGACAGAGGGGAGGAAATGGAATGCAGAGGATAAACAGTGTTAAATTACACACACTAACCTCTGGCTCTCTCCATCTCTCACACACACACACACACACACACTTACACAAACACTTTCTACACGTAGTATCTCGGCTACAAATCTGTCACATGTGCGTCTTTCCAGCTTTATTCTGTCACTGTTTTCTTTGACTCAATCTCCTCTACCTCTTACACTTCCTCTCAACCTCTCCATCATTCTGTGTTCAGAATGGCCACACTGCCATACTACCCTAATTTTTGCAGTATGCGTTATACTGTATATAGTGTGCACATTTTGTATGCGTGGAATGCCCTGATAACTCTGATTGTCATTTCCAAGATGAAGACTGGTCATGTGAAAATTATTATAATTTGCACAATTATTATTACAATAATAATAATAATTAAAATATTTTATTTTAGTTAATTTGATTTGCATTCTGTGTCTTCCGTCTCTTTTCTGTGATTCTGATTGACTGATTTTTCGCTCTGTTAGGTGCTTAATTTTCTGAGCATTTTGTGTTATTTTTACAGTAATGATGCTACTAGGGCTGATCTGAAGAAACTGCCAGCACTGCCTACACAAGCACTGAAGGAGCACCCTTCACTCGCATACTGGTGAGACACACACACGTACACACAGCTGTCAGCTGATAATGGAGAGGTATTAACGAGATGTATCTGCTCTGTGTTCTCTGAGCACCATGGGAAAGGATTCCCCAGAATAATTATCTTACCTAATTTTCCTCGAATTCTATTTGATGCGAATGAAGTATTTCACAGATGCTGCCGTTCTGAGGCACACTCACTCACACATTCATATTGAGCAGACCGTTGTACTTCCTGTTCTAAGAATGAACTTACCTCCTTCATGGTGTTGTATTTTGTTGGCTGTGTCTCTGTACATCTGTAAGCTTTCATTCTTGTCTGTTTGGTGTTCCTGTGGAATTGAAATAAGTTGACAGCCACGTTCTCATGAGCATTGTCATCTGTTGCCGCTAATCTGTGTGTGTGTATGTTGTGTTGTAGTGAGGACCGGGTCATTGAGCACTATAAGAAGCTAAATGGACAGTCCAGAGGCCAGGCTATCGTCAAGTAAGTAAAGAATATTGTCATGACCAAAACATTCTTCTAAGTTAGATGAACAGAAAGTGTCCAAATGCATTTTATCTTAAAGGGTCATATGATGCTTTTTTTAAAGATCATTATTTTGTGTATTTGGTGTAACAGAATATGTTGACATGCTTTAATGTTCAAAAAACACATTATTTTTCAAATACTGTACATTATTGTAGGTCCTCTATGCCCCGCCTCTCTCAAACGCTTCGTTTTCTACAAAGTCCCTCCTTCCGACAAGCGCAGTCTGCTCTTATTGGCCAGCTGACCCAGTGCATTGTGATTGGCCGAACACCGCAAGCACTCGTCGGAGATGTAACGCCCCTTACCATAATCGCAAGCTTCATCTTTCAAAATAAATGTAAAGACAGAGCCCGGAACAGAGTCGCGTGACAGACACAATGATGAAGCTGGTATGTGTTTGCAAATACTTAAACTAATAACAAAACAGTAGCTGATTCAGAAGCGCCAGATTGTCATAGCAAAGTCAGAATTACCTCCTCTCCTAGGCTCACGAAACGGTCGTCCATAAAATGCATTGCTGTTCTGTTGTAAGTAATCTTAAAGATTCCTAAAGGCATCTACTTCCGGAAGGCCAAATAAAGTGCTTTTGCTTTCGCCTAGAAACACACAGCGTGTCCCTGACATGGCTGCTTCAACACTAACTGCGGTTACTGAAACCACGCCTTCTTTCTTTGCGTGCACATTTGGGCGGCATTATGCTAATATTTCCACATAGTGAGGTAGATATGTGGGGGCGTGTTAGAACGAGCCGTTTTAGGGGGGCGTGGCAGAGTCTTAACTTTGATAAAGAATATCTCTTTGGTTTTGAGACTTTATTCTTTGCAACTTCAGGGATCTTATCTATGCACAATCAGCTTGTAACACTCCAAAGAGAAAGGAAAACTTGAAATCGCATCATATGACCCCTTTAAAGCAATAGTTCACCCAAAAATTTAACTTGTCATCATTTGGTCACCCTCATGTCATTCCAAAAACAACTTTTGTGGAGCACAAAAGAAAATGTCTGATATTTTTGCCGTTTTTTCCATATTATGAATCAGTGGAGTCACTGGCGACACAAACCTTAAAAATTATCACATATGGTCACATGGGTGTGTGAGAACCAATGAGATTTGATGCTTTACACTCTGTTGACTTTTATTTTGTCTTTTTTTGTGTTCCACAGAATGCTATTTTTTTTTTTGAGTGAACTATGCCTTTAATTTTGAATACAGTATGTGTTCTTTTATACTTGTTTTATACTAAATCCTCTTTTATGAAAATGTTTTGCTTGAAAAGTGTGAAAATCTTAACTGTGCCTAAAGTATCCAAATACTTTTTGTTTGCTTGTTTTTGCAAGTCTCAGTGACTACTTCCGAGATCCACTCCCATGTGTTCACTGCTATTGTAAATTGTCTGCATATGTAACATTCATAACATACTGTCAAAGATTTCTTATTTCTTCTCTCTCACAGTTATATGAGTGTAGTGGAGTCGTTACCCACATATGGAGTGCATTATTATGCTGTTAAGGTGGGTCAGTGTGCTCTGAGGGAAAATGTATAATCACAGCCGTCAGTCCACACACACACATTCTCACGACCTATAGTATCGCTCTTGACTTAAGTGTTAAAGGATGCTTAAGACTCAGTGTGTTTAAGATAATCGTGCTGTCATCAACCATGAGCTGACACTTCTTTTCTTATCGCCATGTGTGTGTGTTCGCATTAATTCTCTCTTTTTCTCACTCTTTCTCTCTCTCAGGATAAGCAGGGTATCCCGTGGTGGCTGGGTTTGAGTTATAAAGGCATTTTTCAATATGACTACCAGGACAAAGTCAAACCAAGAAAGGTAAGACTGTCTATCTTCTGTGGACTTTAGGGCTGTCAAAATGACTGAAAAACTAAACTCGAATTTTCCACTTAAATATTATCAAAATTGTAATTATATTAGAATTTAAAAGGCATCATTTCAGTTAGGGGGGAAAAAAGCTTTTGGCTTCTCTCCTGAGACCACAAGAGGGCGCATCGAGCAAAATATTATGCATGTTTCTTTAAAGCGTAATAAAATAACACGACTATCTTTGAAAAAAAGTGCATAATGTTTAAAATAATGTTTATAAACCATATATAATTAATAAAGTTGCTTAAACAATTAGAAGAAAAAGTATAGTTTAATACTAGTGATGCATGATTCATGATCATGATTTTTCATAGCCGATTCCGATACCGATTTTTTACAAGCAAACTGGCCGATACCGATTTCCGATTTATTTATTTTTTTTATCAAGCAATGAGTGCAGGAAAGCGGCTCTTATTTATGCGCCAGTACACCAACGGCTGTTCGCTTCTTGGTATCTGTGCGTCAGACAGGTAGCTCTGCATTTCCATCGTGCATCGCCAACAGTGAGCTTGCTCTGCATGGTATTTTTTCTGCTGGCGCCTCGGTGCACGATCGGACGAAATCGGACGAAAAAAATACAAAAAAAACGGCCGATTATGGTCCGATTTATGGCCGGTCAACCGGTGCATCCCTATTTAATACAAAGGACTGAAAACCAATCACAAAGAGTAGACTACTTTCTTCATTTAAAAACAGGAGATACAGTGGGATGGGGGAAAACCGCCATAAAGTCTTGAGACATGTTTTTTAAAAGTTGAACTTTGAACAAACTCTTTCTAAACATGCCGCTCTCTTGTGCGAGACACGAGTGCAACGCTGATAGATGCCCCGCTAGAAAATGTGATAAATAGCGTTCTGTGTGAACGGCTTGGTTTCAGTTTTGCTGTAAACAACATATTCGCCAAACTGATGCTCTCGTTTTCTGCTTTATATTGAATGAACAACATAGCAGCGCCGCATCTAGTGGGTTCAACTGGATAGGCTAACAAAAGCATTAAAATGCAATGACACTAACATTGTCGTCGCATTTCGTGCGCCACTGATAAGGCTGCCTGACGGCTGATGCAGACCTAGAATTCAAATGCAACGTTGTGGATTTTTTTTTTTTATTCGACGAGTATTCGAAATTCAAATTTTTTTTTGACAGCCCTAGTGGACTTACTATAGTTTGACTTCTGTTTGTCCTCCCTTTACATCTCTTAATCTTGGTCATCCTGTAATAGTTTTACCTCCCTGATGGTAATAGTAGTGCTTGGCATAATTTGTCCCTCACCATTTGTGCTACAGACATGAACAAGACCTTAAATTGCGACACTTGTTGAGGAGAGGTGGGCCATTACTTTTCTAAGCGGTCAGATTTACTTGTCAGGCGATAAAATGGACAAATTAGTCTTTTTTGACTTAGGCAACCACCCAGAACCATAGTCACTACTTAAAATGTAGCTTATGACAGTGCTCTTTGTTTCTTCATGAGGGAGGGAAAAAAATCCCACTTCTCCTTTAAAACTCTGCTTTGTAGAAAATCCAGTGGATGTAAGCAGTTTCCCTTACACTGTGTTTTGAAACTTGGCATGAGTTTCTTCAGTTGTGTGTTTTTGCATGTGTATGAATATGTGTTAATCACCTGGTCACCTTTGCTTAACCTCATGACGTCAGCCAAAAGAAGTCTGACTGTCTGACACGTGGGTGTGGTGACCTCAGATATGTCATGACCTCAGGCGGTCTGACCCCATAGCGTTTTTTGTAACTTTAGACAGAGACTCTCAAACTTCCAGACAGACGATCAGTGACACCAGGTAACTGAAATGCTACAAATCTGTCTCAGTCAGAAGAAACGCTTTCTGTCGGAATGACTTTACTTCAGGTGTGTGTTCGCTGGCTTTGGTTTTCCATTCTCACAGCACACACAAGTGTTTGGAGTTCTCTCCAAAGGACAGGCAAAAACTTCAGCCTGTGGTGAGGAACCGAAAAACCTTTCCCAAAACCGCAAGCTAAAAATAGCGTTCAAAGCAGAAAGTCCAGCCAAGCGAAAAGCCAAACTCAGACCTATTTACAGAGAAGGATCTGTTACAGAAAACGAAAGTTGAAAAGATACAACACAGCAGAGGGCAGCTCAGAATGGAGGGAAGAGAAACCAGCAAGAAGAACGGATGCGTGTCCAAAAATGCCACCGATGCAAACTAAACAAAATTATAGTTCTACTGCCAAATCCAACTAAACTTGGATGACAATTTAAAGGGATAGTTCAACCAAAAATGAACGTCATCATTTACTCACCCTGATGATCCAAACCTGTAATAATTATTTTTTGTTTTACTGTAGATCACAAAATAATATAGTTTAAATAATGTTTAAAGTGTTTTTGTTGATACAGTGCAAGTCACAACAACATTGGACCCTATTGACTTTCATTGTATAGGGAAAAAAAAACTAACAATGAGACAAAATATCATCTTTTATGTTCCACAGAAAAAAGTTAAGTCCTACAGCTTTGAAATGACATGAGAGTGAGTAAATGATCACAGAGAACAATCAGACATCTAGACCTGTGTTCAAATGTCAAGCTGCAACTTTCCACTGATCTGCATTTCAGATGGGTCATTGCCACTAATGTTCTCATTACACAGTTTGCCTCCATCACATATGCATGTTTTAATGTTTTGATGATAAGCTCACATGCGCTAATGTTTTGTGGCAGTTCTCCATCTGTAGGCAGTGTGTGTGTGAGAGACTGTGGGATATACAGTTAAATATGCCACACACTAAAAGTTGCAGACTTGGTGAGTTAGTGGTTGGGTTTATTTAATGAGTTTCAAAATAATTTAAACCCTCTCCTAATGAGAAACCGCAGAGCATCTGTGCCAAAGTGTGTGTGTAAAGTTTCACGGAGGTGTGGCCGAGTACATTTGTGGTTTCATCTTGAATTGGGGTGCGTGTGTTTCTCAAGAGCTATTGTCCTCTACCTAAACTCCCTCCAGCAGCCTCGCTGACTCCAAAACCCGCAACAGGAAACCCAGCAGCAGACACCCGCAGGATTACTATCACCCTGACAACACAAAACATACTGGAAACATTAATGTGTCTGACGAATCCGGGACCACTCCCCAAAAACTGGCATGTGTGCGGCTGTTTCTGATTGGTTTGGATCAGCTTATTAGCTCCAATAACTGAAAGATTCTTGCCTTGTAAAACAAATGAACAGCATAGCAAATCAAAGAAGTGTATAGCTGCCCTTCTAGCCAGATGTGACGTTGTACTTATGAATCATGGGATTGCAACCCTTTAGTCACCGGTGATTGTTTTCATCCTGTCTGCTGCTAGTGACCTTTGACCTTTCCAATGCCCTGTCTTTTCTCATAAGCGCTCATTATAGCTCCGGCTAAGTAAATACCATGCTACACACACACAGTCTTCCTGTAGTCTCTGTGTGTCTTTGTGAGAGAGAGGGGTGGGGGCTTGTTGTATTATTCTATATACAGACAGACTGCAGGGTGGCCTATGTGCGTTATAATAAAAGTAACTGCAGTGAATGTGAGTCATAGTGATGAAACACCTATGACATTTACTATGAGACTCATTAAAATCTAAACTCCCTTATATTGGAACTTTCTGGATAAGTGTTTTGGTTTTTAGTGATCCTTAACTCTGTGCTTGAACTCTTGATAGGATTATATTTCAATAAGTGTTTAGCTTTTGCATTGTTTTCAGAATGCATTGAATGATTTATTTAATTTTTGCTGAATAGAAAGTTCAAAAGAACAGCCTTTATTTGAAATAGAAATATTTTCTAAAATTAGAAATGTCTTTACTGCCACTTCGATCGATTTAATGCATCCTTAATAAATAACAGTATTGATTTCTTAAAAAAAAAAGAAAAAAAAAAGTCATACTCCAAACTTTGGAACGATAGTGTAAATCTTTTTTAAGGAAAAGTGTTAAGGAAAATGATACCATCTGATTAAGAATAGACTATTTCACTTAGGATTTGTGTGTGTGTTGTTTGCATGCTTTTGTTTCTGAGTTTTTCGTTTAACTGCATGCTAACATCAGACTTTACTGGAATCAACTGCATCAGAACTGAGGTGGGGTTTTCAGATACAGGCATAGCCAATCTCTGGACCCCATCACCATGGCTGTGAGCCTTCATTTAAAATCCTTTGAAGTCCAGAACAAGATTTAACCCTGTTTCCAGAGATCTAAATAACCAAACAACATGAGGACTGGAACACGGTTCAGCGGTCAGTGAAATATGTGCTGGAACTAACCAGGATTGAGCACATCACTGGGCACATGGGCCCCCTTTAAAATGCCTTTTCTCTCTTACAGCCTCTCGTGACTGAATGCCTCAAAATCACACACACTTTCAGCTGAGATAGTCTCAATCCAGAACAATAGCTGAAGTCCCCAGTTCCACCTCACTGTGCCCAAAATACTCTGGTGTGGTTAATGCTCCATACCTCATTGGCTATTATAACTGCACCACGCTACGGAGCGTTTAGATGTCATGGAATATTGTAGCCTCCCTCACTTTCTTTTTCCTCTCCCTCCCGCTCTCTTAAGGAGAGAAAGATTTGTATCTCCATAATGAAAGTTGTTTTGAAGGTGTTGAGGGTTACGTTTGTTCTTGGTCCCATGAGACCATCAAAGCATCTCATTAACACCAAGAAACATTCACTTCATCAACATCTCTGTGTTGTTCAGTTGCACTGTGTCTATGATATTTTGGGCTGGAAATCAGAAGGAATTTAAATATTCTGGTTTAATGTTCCTTTGTTTTATCTTAATTAGTTATTTTAATAGTACAGAACTTTGGTATACTCTGTGTTTTTTGAAGTGCTTTACAAATAAATTTGAATTGAATTAACAATTTGTTTAGTACTTTTGAAGAACATTATACCAAACAAAACAATCCTATCTTTGGTAATATATTTTATGTTATTTATTAGTTTTATTACTATATTACTTTTATTTTAATTACTAATTATGACTAAAACATGTCACTTATTGTTAGTATGTATCAGTGTTATTTTAGTATTATTTATATACTATTATGGTGTTTATTCATATTTTGTTTTATTTTTATTTTAGTATAGGTTTTAGCAATTTTGTGTTCTTTTGTTATTTGTATTATTTTTTATATATATATATATATTTAGCTTTAATTTATTTTTATTTAAGATTTTACTTTTACTTTTAACACTTCAACTTAAATTTACTTCTTTTAGTAAGTCACCAAGACAACATTTATATTTTTTTCTTCTTCTTTTTTTTATTGTTTACAATAACAACACTGGTAAGTATCATTAGACCAATTTAAATCAATAACAATCCTGATTCATAAGATTCTTAAAAGAACTGCCTCAAAAAGAGTCATTCGTTCACAAATTGTAGTTCATAAATCTGTGTTCTTAATAGTTTTTTATTATTTTGCAGCAACTGGACTTTCTCTTTCATTTCTTTTTATTTATTTTGCGTTCATTGATTCATACCAAATACAATTTATATTATAATCTCACCTCATCTAAAATTTTAGATTCAGTAGAGTTGCAGGAAGACTATTTTAATGCAGTGTTTTATCTGCATCAGTGGAATGTTGCAGATGTTAAAGGACCGTTATTAGAACCTTGAAAATCATTTGGTTCCAGTAGATTTTTTTTAAATGGAACCAGTTCTTAATTCCCAGTCCTAGTGATATATGTGGAAATAGTGTTTGTGTGTGTGTGTGTGTGTGTAACTATGTTCCTTCCCTCCCCTCTTCCTTCATCTGTCCATTGTTTTCCCAGGCTCTTAAAATTCTTGAGCTCTTCAAGCCAACCCCCTCCCCTCCTCTCTCTTCCATCATTTTTTTCTCTTTTCCTTTTTCTTTTTTTCTTAAATCAAGGTCTTTGCCAAGGAATGTTTGTATGCAAAGTCCTTTTAATGGCTATTAACGGTAATTATGGACGTATTTGATAGTTTAGATTGTATACCATTTATATACCTTGGAATGAGTGTATAGGGCTCTTTTTCTTATTAAATGAAAGCAATAGTTTCAGCAAATGCATATTCATACCACTTTTTCCACCACTCTCTATTTCTATTGCGTTTTCTTTGTGTCTGTGCAGCTGATGGCTCCAGGGGTCCAGTGTATGTACCGCAGACAGCTGTGTGAGTGCGTGATGCGTTTAATGAGAAACAGAACCTGGTTTTTTGAGTGAATGAAGGGAAAAGAGGTGGAGGAGTTTAACAAAGCTGTTGCGCTGCGTTTTGAGGGGTTACTATAGCACACACACAAACACATGACTCTGAACTCTCCATAAACCCCGCCCACACAGGAAGTGTGTCCCTGAGGGAGGAGAGGCTTGGAAGGAGGCTGACTCCTCCCACTCTTGCTTGCTCTCTCACTCTCCATCTCTCTTGATTCAAACAGTCTCTCTCTTTCTACACATATACAGAGGAGGACTCATTGTTCCCCTGTGCTTAAGGAGGATTTTACAGATTCACACTGACCGTAAGCACAAAAGTGCACAGAAAAGTAAAATATCTTGGCCTGGACTTACCTTCTGGATTTTCTTTTAATGCCTTTTCTTTTAGTTTTCTGATCTGGAAGGAGTTTACAGTCTAAAGACGTTGGAGCACCATCCATGGATTGTTTGATTGAAGTTTTGGGAATGTTGTAAAAACGTTCTCTCATCTCTCCAGGTGTTCCAATGGAGACAGTTGGAGAACCTGTACTTCAGGGAGAAGAAGTTCTCAGTGGAAGTCCATGACCCCAGAAGGTAAATCTACATTACAGCCTACACGTGTCTGCTCACACACACAGGTCATGGACTATATAGGCTTACAAACAATGTGTCAAGTACACTGACAGGACATGGGTTTGAAAGACAAGTTTGTTTAGATCTCATGAAACATTTGAAAGATCTCAGCATGTATGTTTTACCATTGATTCTTTTGGATTGTCGAGTGGAACAAATGAACAAAAACATACCCACCTCGTTTTCTCTCTGTCTCTCTGTAGTGAATGAGATGTGGTTTGAGTTCATCTCGATTCTCTGCTTCTCTCAAAACTGGGATTGTTTCATATCTTCAGTTTGTTCTCTCTCTCTCTCTCTCTGTGGATTTTAGGATGTGTTTAGGGTTTAATCAGGCCCTCATGACATCATCAGTGCGTGCCGAGAGCTGGTTAGTCTCTTTAGGAGAGCAGATGCTGCCAAAAGCAGCAGCACACGCTGCCTCAGATGCTGACAGACAAACCACCTCATTCACGCTGTTCAAACAACCACCACGACAGCCCAGAATCGAGGAGAACACAGACGGAGATCACAGAAATGCTGGAGGCTGGGGAAATATGACATGAAAGAGAGCAAAACAGTTTAGGAAGATGATACAATCTGTTTATTTTGCAGCATGAGGGACTATGATGTATTTTCCTTTTTGTTAAGTTCACTGTCATTCAGTTTAAGTCAGTGCAACACCCGCACATACACTAATATAGTTCTGATAAGAGTCAGAACATGAGGGTCTGCTGTTTATCTTTGTTCTAGTGGAGGGGCCTGGAGGTTTTTATAAAGCCCGTCACAGGACACACACGTGCGCTGGGTTTGACCACAGTGTAAATGGTGTGCGTGTGTCTGTGGGCTGTGCTGTGTGTGGTATGTTAAGCTGATACATTGCAGAACTGTCGGGAGTATTATGTGCTAACACCAGTTCACATTTCATATCTCCTACACAATATATATATTATACTGGTGGCTAATAATATGGCAGACAGTAGAATTTAAATGCGTTTTTGTGAATTTTTATCATATACAGTGGGGAAAAAAAGTATTTAGTCAGCCACCAATTGTGCAAGTTCTCCCAGTTAAAAAGATGAGAGAGGCCTGTAATTTTCATCATAGGTATACCTCAACTATGAGAGACAAAATGAGAAAAAAAAATCCAGAAAATCACATTGTAGGATTTTTAAAGAATTTATTTGCAAATTATGGTGGAAAATAAGTATTTGGTCAATAACGTAGTATCGAAGTATATGCCATCGGTCAAAAGTTTGGATGGTATTCTTGGATGCTATTGAACTACTTGACAAAAATGCATCACAGTTTCAACAAAAATATTAAACGGCACCACTGCTTTCAAGATTGATGGGAATAAATATTTCTTGAGCAGCAAATCAGCATATTAGAAGGATTCTGAAAGATTGTGACACTGAAGACGGGAGTAATGGCTTCTGAAAATTTAGCTTTGCATCACAGGAATAAATTACATTTCAAAATATATTAAAATAGAAAACTTTATATTATAATAATATTTCACAGTATTACTGTTTTTAATGTATTTTTGATCAAGTAAATGCAGCCTTGGTGAGCATAAGAGACTTCTTTCAAAAACATTAAATATCTTACTGATCCCAAACTTTTGGATGGTAGTGTTTAAAGTGATTGGAAGATATTTGTTATTAAATATTTGTTATTAAATTTGAAGATTTGAATTTGCAAAAAAATCTGTTAAAATTTTAAAAGCGTCAGTAAGCTTTATCTTAGCATTAGTTTAACTAGCCAAGCAACATAACATGGTCACAGGTAGTGTTGTTTTTGGCGGCCTGTTTTAATTTTAGTCTAGTCTTTGTGTGAAACTGTCATTTTAGTTTTTATTAGTTTTAGTCACGTTCATACTCTTTTTAGTCTAGTCAAGTTTTACTCGACTAAAAGCCTGAGCATTTTAGTCTAGTTTTAGTCTACGAAAACTGATGACATTTAGTCTAGTTTTAGTCGACGAAAAGACCAATTTATATGACAGATTTTCATGTAGGCTTTTATTCATATGTAAACATTGTGAGATAATTATAATGGTAATTAAACAAAGTTTTGCTCACTCAGTGTATTTTTGTAGGGCTATTAAGAAATTGTTTTATTTTTTTTACCAATTATCCAAATAATGTTTAATCTTAGAAAGCTATTATTATCAGAGGACACATGAGCATAACGGTTAGCAGATCAATGAATGAGAGGGCAGCGTTACTAGAGTTGCCCATATACCACACCTCGTTACAACACAGTAGGGCTATTGCAAACAGAAACAATACTGTACTACATCCATGTTTCCTGTCAGCTTGATTTTTGAGTGGACTTTGCTGTTCCAATGAGCTTGAACGGTATATGAATGGAGCAGTCAGATGGGCCGCTAGCGACTGAGCGGAGCACACACGCGCATAGAACGGGATAATACCATACAGTCTATGGATAATGCACACACGCATAGAGCGGGATAACACACACGCACACACACACACACATGAATCCTGAGCGGTGAACTCATTTTTGGCAGCCGGAATTTCTGTGCATCTCTAATTATTGGCGGTATTAGAAATTGATATTATATAATAGCTGCTTTTTTAAACATTTTAGCAATTTAAAAATATTAAAAAAAGATTTTTTACACGGCATCCCTGCTCTCGACAGACGCGGCACCCCGGTTGGGAAACACTGTTCTAAATAATTCCGCGAGTGGGGCTTGAGGAAGTGACGTCGCCTGCGTCTGCGCCGTGCGACCTGATGCAGCCCCTGAAGCGAGACACAGGAAACAGAAATACTGCAAAATAATAATAATAACGAGATGAAATAACGTTATAACATTTCGTTTCGTCTCGTTTTGGTCAACAAAAATGAAGAGACATTTTAGCATAGTTTTTATTTTGTATGCCACATTTCGTCTCGTTTTTATTCGTGAACGATATTGCATTGTACATTTAATTATCATGACCAGCATTTTCGTCTCGTCTCGTCTCGTTTTCGTCATGTGATAAAGGTTCGTTGACGACTATATTTAGTCATAATTTTCGTTGACGAAAGCAGCACTAGTCACAGGTCTGTTTATTGGCTGTTTTTTTATGTAACTTTGGTTGTGGTTCATCCAATTTAGAGGAGGTAACGTTTTTTTGACTGTGTATTTATTGAAATGACAAACACAAAGATTGTGTGCGTCTGTAAAACATAAGTGTTTTAAATGTGTTTTGGCAATAATAAACATTTTGACATCGGTTTCTGCACTGACAATGTCATAAAATTCAGTGAATATAAAGTCGTTTTGTGTTTGATCCAACTGCAGGGCGTCTGTAACGCGGAGGACGTTTGGTCACAGTGGCATCGCCGTGCACACCTGGTACGCCTGTCCCACCCTCATCAAATCCATCTGGGCCATGGCCATTAGCCAGCACCAGTTCTACCTGGACCGCAAACAGAGCAAAGTGAGTGTGTGTTTGTGTTTTCAGATCCGTCTCCAAACTTTCTTTTATCAAAGTGTGTGTGTTTGGTTGATAACCTCGTTCTTACTACATCGACCTTCCTGTGTGTTTCTGTGGTCTACCTCTAACCGTCTCACCGTCTAGACAACCATCTCTGCAATCCTCAGGGCCACATACACTTACACACAAACACACTTATAACTAGCTGTCTCTGATTTTGCTCTAGGATTCTGTTACACTTTTAAAAGCTGCGGAATGTTCTTCTCTTGGAAAATTCTGACACACTCAACACAGCTGGCAAGCACATTCACTCTCTCTGTCTCTGTCTCTCAGAGTAAGATCCACGCAGCACGCAGTCTGAATGAGATAGCCATAGACCTGACAGAAACAGGAACCCTCAAGACCTCCAAACTGGCCAACATGGGCAGCAAAGGCAAAATCATCAGCGGCAGCAGTGGAAGCCTGTTGTCATCAGGTCAGAGCAAGCACACACTCACAAAAAACAGGTGCAATTACAAGATCACTTTCTTCCTGTTTACAGCTATCATCTGAAAATTACGTCCTGACACACATAAAGTGTTGTTCGTAGTTTTACATTTTTGGAGCCACTTAAGTGTGATGAAAAAATTATGAGATGGGATGAAAAATTTGAGTTCTCTCGCAAAAGTATTGCGTTCCCCCAAGAAACTTTGCGTTCATTCGCAAAACATTTGTTCACTGCGCAACAGTATTGTGTTGCCCCGAAAAACTTTTGCATTTACTTACAGTCCCCCAAGAATCTTTGTATTCACTCACAAAACATTTGCGTTCTCTTGCAACAGTAATTACATTCCCCAAGAAGCTTTGCATACACATGAAGTGTTGTGTTCCCCCAAGAAACTTGCGTTCACTCTCAAAAACTTGCGTTCTCTACAGAGAAACTTTTCTGAAGAGAATGCAAAAGCATTGAAATATAATTTTCCCTCCCATGTCCCTTTAAGAGCTCTGTAGAAATGTATCATTAGTGACGAGTTGGTAATGATCTGGGGCCTGTTGTAAAGGAACTTCAAAAAGGATGACAAGCTTCAGTCTTGTAGTGTGCACTTGAAACACTCTGTCCTGTTATATGTGTGAATCCAGTGTTTATGATCTCATGGTGATGTCATACACTGGGAGTTTTGGGGTGTGGGCAATTGTGCAAATTTTCTACGGGGTGAGAGTGAGAATAGCTTGTCTTGATGTTGGTTTTGGACTTCTGTAGTGGTGTCAGGTATCATGAATTAAATGTGCTCATAGCAGGACTCCTCTGGTGTCAGTCATATGATCTCCCCTTTCATCTGAGCCATGTGTCTTCAGCCTCTTAATCATTGACCACACATGAGAGATTAGATCATAGTGGAGGCTTGGACAGTCGCTGCATTTTGGAGTTGTTTGCTTTGGTTAGACAATATGAAAATGAAACCGCATTCACAAAACCATTTCACTTCTGTAATCTGAAGGATTTCCAAATGAATTTGGTTATTTATAGAGAGAAATTGTGGAGTAGGACTTGGATTTGGAGAGTAGGAATGGATTTTATCCATTGGGAATTGTTTGGTGGATCCAACATGTAGTGAGGTGGTTGGAGGGGAAGAGTTGAGGCTCAGTTATGCCATCTGACAAGGAAAGTTGCTTCAGAGGCAAAGCAATGTTGCACGTTAGAAGTTTTTTTCTTCTTCTTCTTTTGAAAAGCATGCATGAATTGTGCACAATAAGTCCAGGCACAGGCATTAAGTAAACACACAAGATAAAGTTTGACTTTACATTGACTTTAAACTTACTATTCAGTCTGAAATAATCTAGGGTACACCTTCATTTCATCCACTGGTGGTATACAGCTGTTATACTGGTTTATGTTATTGGTTAATATTATTTTTCCCTGCTTATGAATGTTGGGTTATATAAGCAGAAAACAAAAAGGTAGAAGACGTTATATTTTATTTAATTTTTAAGAATAACATGCACTGATGAATCAGTCAAAGTATGAACAGGAACATTTATTAGGAAAGTAAAAGAGTCAGTTTAAAGCAGTGGTTTTTAAACTTTTTGGAGCCATATATACAGTGCTATGAAAAGGTTTTTGCCCCCTTCCTGTTTTTTTTATTTTTTGCATATTTGTCACACTTAAAAGATTCAGATCATCAAACAAATTTTAATATTACACAAAGATAATGCAAGTAAATACAAAATGCAGTTTTTAAATGATGATTTCATTTATTAAGGGAAAAAAGCTGTCCAAACCTGCCTGGCTCTACGTGAAAAAGTAATTGCCCCCTAAATCTAATAACTGGTTGTGCCACGCTTTGCAGCAACAACTGCAATCAAGTGTTTGCGATAACTGGCAATGAGTCTTTCACATCGCTGTGGAGGAATAGATACGTATCATGATACAGAGGCCACGATACGTCTACTTGTTTTTCATGAATGTATTTTCCAACAATAGAAAGAGCAATGTGTAACATTTTAGCAGATTTAGTCCTACACTTATTAACTTTTATTTGTTTCCCACTGAATAATGTTGTTTCACTAAATGTTTAGTTTAGTTTAATGTTTTTATAAAATGATTGTGCACACATGATTTTTCTAGAATAACTTTTGCTGCTGAATTATCCACTAACCTAGTTTATAGTAGTATTTTTTTGTCATAGATCATGATTATATTTTTTAATTTGTTATTTTTCATTAAAATGAAGTTGTCTATATTTAGCAGATTGTGTTTAACACACACAAGAGTGATGATCAGGTCAACCCACAGAAGTATAGAAATTCTACATTGATTTAGAAAAAACTGCGCTCAGATCGGATCGGAATTGGTCGATACTCAGAATTTTTGGGATCGGATCGGTTCTGAAAAATTGGTATCGTTGCATCCCTAGTTTAAAGCATTGTTATACATACAGTACTGTTAAATGTGCATGTGTGTGTCATTGCTCTGTAAAGCACTCAGATGCTGCAGAAATTTCCTGTCTCTTTATATGTAGTGTCTGAAAGGATAGAGAGATTTCACAGAGACGCTCTCCAAAACAGTGTTGCTCTATTCCAGTGACAAAATGATTCTGTGTTTTTGTGTCGTGCAGTCTGATGCCTTTCTTTGCTTCATAGGTTTACCACAGTTCTGTCCCTCTAGAGTTCCCATGAACCCCACCCAGCCCAAGTGTGTGTCCATTACTAATTTTCTCTTAACGTCTTTCACTTCACATGCTGAACGCTTTCCACTGGGAAGCAAAAATGATGGATTTATTTGGCAACTCACCAAATCCAAACTTGGCAGAGTGGAAAAGCCTTTTGCAGCTAAATTCTCCTGTCACACACACACACACAGGAACTGAGAGACAATAATTCCCACTCTGGTTCACTCATATGTTCAGAATGATTCTGGAATAATTACTTGTTTTCTTTTTCTTATATATGTCCCCGATCTTAGTGTGTACAAGATAAAAATGTTTTAAATATCTCTAAATATGTTTTAGTCCAAAATACAGTACCATTCAAAAGTTTGGGGACGCTAAGATTTTTTTTCTATGTTTTTTAAAGAAGTTTTACCAAGGCTGCATTTATTTGATCATAAATACAGTAACAACAGTAATACTGTGAAATATTACTACAATTAAAATAACAAAAATAACTGTTTTCTATTTTAAAATGTAACTTATTCCTGTGATGCAAAGCTGAATTTTCATCATCATTACTCCAATCTTCAGAAATCATTCTAATATGCTAATTTGGTGCTCAAGAAACATTTCTTCTAATCATCAATCTTGAAAACAGTTGTACTGCTTAATATTTTTTGTAAATTCAAAAGAACATTTATTTTAAATAGAAATCTTTTGTAACATTACAAATGTCTTTACTTTCACTTTTGACCAATGTAATGCATTCTTACTGAATAGATTTATGAGTTTCTTTTAAAATATATGTATTACTGATCTCAAACTTTTGAATGGTAGTGTAAGTCATAATATATAAGACTGCCAAATGCCATGCCATATTAATTTACAGTGACAGGACACATTTAGGGTTTCAGTGCTTCTTCTGTAGCCATAGAACAAAGACACACAGACGCACACACATAGCAGGCTTGACTGGACACTAGCGACACAGCCAGTGACCCCGGTCATATTCTCTCTCTATTACTGCTGACCCTTCACTGATTCCCAGACAGCTGCCTGCCCACACACACTCATTATCCCCTTCCAAACACACCAGACAAATCACATTCCTCTGCAGAGATGCAGGAAGCTGTCCATGATGCTACATAGTTTCAGTGTGAGAAAACACACATTCACAGCCTCGACTAATTTCTACCACAGGTAAACAAACACTGGTTTAATGTCTTTAGCATTGTATGGTAATATTAAGGTATCACTGTTGTTATGTAATCCTTCCCAAACTTGCCAAAAAATTTAGCTGACTTCCTCATAAACATCTCGGACACAATCAACTTGGCCTCATGCTCTGATCCACATGGAGTATCTGCTAAACTATGTTGCCCCATTGGGGCCCTTTGTTCAATTTTGTCTGGAATCACACACACTTTGCCCCTTTCATAGCATTTAAATAGGTGAAGTACACACCCTCTTGCTAAGCGAGAATGTCTGTATGATTGTTTAAGCTGAAGTCTGGGGCTGCTGGTGCTGATATGACCTTTAAACATGTCTGATCTTTGACCTTTAGGTTACACTCACACATTTGGTAAAATGTGACTTGTCAACCCTAGATTTGATCTAACTTTGTGTGTGTGTGTGTGTGTGTGTGTGTGTGTGTGTGTGTGTGTGTTTGTGTGTAGGCTCTCAAGAGTCGGACAGCTCCCAGACCGCTAAGAAGGACATGTTGGCGGCTCTGAGGGCCAGACAGGAAGCTCTGGAGGAGACGCTGAAACAGAGAATAGAGGAACTCAAGAGCATCTGCATCAGAGAAGCGGTAAGGATCGAAACAACTTCTCACTTCAGCATAACAGCTCTGTTCGAAAACCTGAGCTTACTTGCTGTCTGCAGTCTACATAGGAAGCTATTTTGAAACATTTTAATATGTTTTTATGCATTTTGTTCAAATATACAGTCAATCTTAAAAATATTTTATATTATAACAGAATCTCCTAAAGAAAAATCACTTAAGAGGCCTTAAATTTAGGGACAAAAACAATAATTGCGATATGGGTTCTTTATTATAATGTGTTGTAGATGGTTGTAAGAGTGCATATTTGATCTTCCTCATCTTTTTGAATGAGCAGCTGGAATTATAAAGCAAAGAAAGGCATATTTATCATTAAAAGCATTATGCATAAAGTCATTTTTATTACATAGTTTTATTACATCACATAATCTTAAAAAGCAAGCACACCTTAGGATGCCTAAAAATTGTGTTGCAAATAGTCAAGCCTGGATTTGCTGCTCACATAGGTGTTGATCAGAGCTAGAATCTTAGTCTCACGCACTCATACACACACAACAACAGCTGGATTAAGAGTGTAACATAGTGTGCTGTGTTTCAGGAGCTGACAGGAAAACTTCCGAAAGAGTACCCTCTCGATCCCGGGGAGGAGCCGCCCACCGTCAGACGCAAAATCGGCACCGCCTTCAAACTGGACGAGCAGAAGATCCTGCCCAGAGGAGAGGTCAGTGACTGTTTATAGTGTGATTTTAAAGTTGGTACCGTACAACCTCTGAACCCGACCACAGCGAATGCTGCACAGTTGTCTCAATCATACACTGCCGTTTACGCCACAAACACACATTCGTGTATGTGTGCAGGGTTCTATAAATAGCTCCAGTCTGGCATGATCAGAGGAAGTGGCGATAGTGCAGTGTATGTGTTGAGTGTCAGCCAAAGGAGCTGGATTACAAAATCCAAAAAAGAGCTTAGCTGTGTGAATGAAGAAAGCTGATTTATGTAAGAGGTCACAATGTCATCTTTGCCTTTGTATGCATTTTTTTACATGACTGATGATTGTTGATTTTGGGTGATTAATCGAAGGCATTGATAAGAGGCCACAATATCTTAGCTGTCTCAATGTGTGTGTGAGAACTAGACAACTTGGCGCCCGTAGTTGTCTTGTTATTCTGATGGAGTGTTTTGCTAATTTCACAAAGGGCAATTTGAAGGATTGTTTTTAGTTTTTTTGCTTAGTTTTCTCATTTTGTGTGTTTACATCTGTTTTTTTTAGGAAGAGGAATTGGAGCGTTTGGAAAGGGAATTTGCCATCCAATCTCAGATAACAGAGGCAGCGCGGCGGTTAGCATCTGATCCTCACATCAACAGCAAAAAGCTGAAAAAACAGAGGAAGACGTCGTATCTGAATGCTCTGAAGAAGCTGCAAGACATCGAGAACGGCATCAACGAGCACCGCGTTCGCTCTGGGAAGAAACCCACACAGCGTGCCTCTCTAATCATAGAGGGTGAGGAATTCTGTTCGTTGCGTTTGTTGAGACGTTTTTGCAGCACTCCTGTGAGTTCATTAAGTATTTCCTCTGTAAAGTCTTTCATGCTGAGAGCAAGAGTAATCGCACCTCCCCATAGACCTATAAAACTGTGAACGCATGTGTCTGTGTGTGACCTCTGCTGTGAAAATTCATTTAACGCACTCGTGTTCATGCCCAGGCTGCAAAGATTTGTTTGACATGTTGGTGTGTGAGTTTTCGCTTTTAAGTTGTCTTTGTTTTTGTTCGGCAGAAGCGAATATCGGCTCAGAGGACAGTTCACTGTCTGACGCCCTGGTGCTGGATGATGGTGAGTTTTGTACACTTTTTATACATAAATATCAATTTTACTTCTGTATTTTGATTTCAAATTGAAGCAGAATATTTAACAATAAAAATCTAGGTCAGTGTTTGATTATATCCATCTGTAATTAATTGGATTGTGAAAAGTGGGTGTTGTTGGTTTTGGTTTTACCATGGTTCAGAGGTGTTTTTTGGTATAGTGGTAAGCTGAATATCATAAAAGACTCAATAACCTATTCTTTTGCCAAATAATAATAAGTTTACAGATACAAAACAGACATAGGTCTCATTAATATTCATTCAATTGGGCCATTAATATTAAGTATAGAATTTGATATGTTTTTTACAATAACTTTGTTTATGGCTATCTAATCAAATAATACACATCAAGGCATTTCTTTTTCTTTGCTTTTGATTTCTTTGATTTAATTTTAGTTATTAAAATTTTTTTAATTTCTAACATTTCCTTCAAGAGGTGTTTTTGGTAAAATGGGAGGGTGGATATCATCAAGATGCAATCAACAATTATTTTGCCAATTAATATAGTTTACATATACAATACAGGCATTTGCCTTATTAATATTCATTATTTCTGCTGATTAATATTTAGTATAGAATTCAATTGATATTTTTACAATAACTTTGAATGTGGCTCATCAAATCAGATAATACACATCAACTATTTTTATGAAAATGTTCCCAAAAAGAAGTTCTCTTATTTAATTTTCATTAATTTAATTAGTTAAATATTTTCTTTTAGCAATTTTGTCCTCAAAAGTAAAAGGAACATACCCGTGTACCATCTTAACATTAAATGATATATTTATCTAATTTCCTCTCACTCTGTTCTCCAGATGACCCCCAGGTGACAGGAACCCCCACGTTCTCTCCGGCTGCCTCCCCACACAAAGGTCTCCCTCCCCGACCCCCGTCCCACAGTCGGCCGCCTCCCCCACAGTCCCTGGACGGACTGAGACACCTGCACTACCAACGCAGTGACTATGACAAGTCCCCGATCAAACCGCGCATGTGGAGCGAAAGCTCATTAGACGAACCCTACGAACGGGTGAAGAAACGTTCCTCACACTCTAGGTACGGACCAGTCAGAAAATTTGTGTTGGTATATGACTAGTGTGGTGCACATTTAAATGAATAAATTATGTTTATTCTTTTCTCTTTCTGCAGTAGTCACAGGCGGTTCCCCAGCACTGGCTGCTGTGAGGTGGGAGGGAGCAACTCTCTCCAGAACAGCCCTGTGCGCTCCCTCCCTCACTGGAACAGCCAGTCCAGCATGCCCTCTACCCCTGACCTGAGAACACGGAGCTACGTCCACTCGGCCAGGTGCTGTCAACATGAGAACATCACCTATGGGTTTTATTTAACATAATATTTACATAGTTATATTCTTAGACTATATAAATTAATTCTTATTTTATATGAATGGGTCATGTTTTAATTCATTCATATTTTATATGATGTAATAAATATATAATTGCATTTCATATCAAATTAAAACCAAACATAAAATCAACATGCAAATTCAAAATCAACCCTATTTACGGTCACAATACTCATCATTTATTCCAAAGAAAAATTATGTTTGTGTTTGTAATCTTTCTTCAAAATACACTACCTGTCTTTTTTTATTTATGCTTTTTAAATGTTTTTGAAAGAAGTCACTTATTCTCACCAAGGCTGCATTTATTTGAACAAAAATAGAGATATTGCGAAGTATTATTACAATTTAAAAGAACTGCTTTCTATTTTAATATATTTTAAAATGTGATTTATTCCTGTGATGGCAAAGCTGAATTGTCAGCATCATCACTTTAGTCTTCAGTGTTACATGAACCTTCAGAAATCATTCTATGCTGATTTGCTGCTCAAATATTATTAGATATTACTGGTGCTCAGTTATTACTAGTTATTATAAAAACACATCTTATTACTATAAAACTTTTGCTGCATTTATTTAAAATAGAAATCTTTTGTATCATAAAAGTTTACTTTTGTTGTATTTCGATCATTTTAATGCATCCTTGCTGAATAAAAGTATTATTTTTTTATAAATATAAAAAAAATAATAATCCACTAAAATCATAATTTTTTTCTTTCTCAGTCTAACTCAGCCATTCCGTGGCCGGAGTTCCAGTTTAGAGTCTCAGGGGAAGCTGCTATCCTTGGAGGCGGACACAGAGACGGGACTTAGCCCTGACCTGTTTCTGTCAGGACCACGGAGGACAGGAAGCAATGGCTCTGTTGTCCCCGATGACTGCTCATCTTGCACCAGCCAATCCAGTTCAGAACATTACTACCCCTCATCCACCTCCAACCCTAACTACTGTACGCTGGCCGAGGACTCGCCCTCCAAAGCCCGACAACGGCAGCGGCAGCGTCACAAGTCTGCCGGACACCTGGGTGCATCCAGTTCTGGCAGTATGCCCAACCTAGCGGCCCGCAATGGGAGCACCCACGGGGGGGTGTGCGGAAGCCATCAGGGCGTGTACCTCCACAGCCAGAGCCAACCCTCCTCACAGTATCGCATCAAAGAGTACCCACTATACACAGAGGGCAGTAGCCCCAACGCCGTGGTTGTCCGCAGCCTGGAGAATGACCAGGAGGGGCACTACAGTGTCAAGGCACAGTTCAAGACCTCCAACTCATACACAGCTGGGGGGCTTTATAAGGAGGGGTGGGTCTCCGGGGAGGACGGGGAAGTGGGTGGTGGCAGCGGGAGGTTGACGCCCTCACGCTCACAGATTGTGAGGACTCCATCTCTAGGCAGGGAGGGAGGAGGAGGGGGACGGGCAGCGGTGTCAGAGGAGCTGCGGTGCTGGTACCAGCGCTCGTCTGGATCACTGAAGGAGCACAGCCGTGTCACGCACACCAGCTCCAGTGCTTCAGACGGCCGTGGAGGACGAATAGGGACACTAGTGAAGGGGTCACCAGGTGAGCGGGTCAAATATAAACTATGCAAGAAAAGATATATGGATACCTGCTAGACCTCCTACAGTAAACATCATAAATTAGATGCATGGTTCCTGATTGTGGCTTTTTTTTGTGTGGGTAATATATACTGATATATATATATATATATATACTGTATATATTTGGCGCAAACTGTTTCTCACCCTCACAACCTAATTTTCATTCACATTTAGGTAAGGTCTGTACATTTCTCTTCATTGTGTACATATTTATGCTGCTGCATTGATTTAGTGTGTGTGAGACGGAGAGAGCTAGAAAGAGTGGTAAAATGAGACCTATTTTATGTGTCAACTTCAGTACATTGCTGTGAGGTGTGTGTGTGTATATATGGAGGCTGTCAGGGTGGTCTGGTCAGTGTGTGGGTGTGTGTCGTGGGGATTATCACTTTTCTCTGGGTGGTAGAAACACTCCAAACCTTTTCCAGAAGCTCAAGAGGGTGTTGGCAGCAAGCAGTCAGCTTTATCTCTGACACGTTCACCACGTGTATAAGCATATGTGACTGTAGTTCAGCTGTATGAATTTGTGTCTTACAGTGGAGTCTGTGTGTTTCAGCTGCATCTCCACACAGTCAGAGGAGTGGAACTCCCTGCAGCGACCCTGCAGCTACGCCCCCTTGCAGCCCACAACACATACTCAACTGGCAGAGCGGGTAAGAAACTATATATATATATATATATACACACACACACACTCACACGTATATATATGAAAAAGCCTCATAGTCCAATATTATTTCCTTGAAATGTAGATGGTCTAGAAGAAACTGTAGGTTGTAATTTATGTCTGATTAGTAGTTAGTTAATCTAAGTAACAACATAGTATCTAGTATCCCAGTGGCTCGTTAGATAAAGTACTGCATCTCTGTAGTTTCTTAGATGGACTAACCAATCAGAATCATGTAATAATACTAAATAAGTAAGTGACACTTCTTTCAGACTAATACAAAGGTCAAATCACTTTAAATTAGCTGTTAGTTTTTTTGTTTGTTTGTTTTTTGCATTGCAGTTAATGTGAATAGTTTTGTGTGAAAAATCACTTGCAATATTTGTCAGTGATTTGCATCACTCTAGACCTGAGTATGCTTTTAGGAAAGGCTTATATGGTTTTCCTTGCACTAAAGTTTGACCAAGAATGTTTACATATATACTTAATATTTTCATTGTGCTGTTCTTGGTTTCTTCCAAGATTGCACAATTGGCTTGGTTTTCCTGTAGATTGTACATCTTTGTTTGTCAGTGGGTATTTACTTTAAAGAACTGTATAAATTCAGACATATTTGAGGATGTTGGTCAAAGTCTGGGTTAAGGAGCACACATTCTCTTGGTTTAGACGTCCACCTAACTGTACCAAAGCTTTGTCTGTGTTGTTCACTTTAATAGTGTGCAACAGAATTACCCGTGTCAAAATTACACGACTCACTCTACATTAACTGATCACGGCTACCCACAAACACTAACATCTCTCTCTCTCTCTCTCTCTCTGTGTCTCACTAACCCACCTCTGCCTGAATGTGTATGTGTGTTTTCTCGGGGCAGTGATACGACTGAAAGTTCTCCTACTGAAGACCGTTCTCCCTCTCACCAAAGCACTGACCAGTAGAGAGGTACACTCTCTCAATCTCTCTGCATGTTCTGTATCTCACTCTTTCACTCCTTCACCTCTCTGACGGTGTCATTTGCTTGTGTTGGAAGTGAATTTGTATTTCAGAATACAAATTTTATTTGTGTTATTTTGTTATTATAATTTACTAGGGAGTACTGAAACAAAACTTCATTGTGGGCAGTATGACCAAACTTTTGTATCACAAAATTAGAAATTTTATATTATGTGGTGTAACAGTTTCTTTATATTTATATTATATTTTTATTTTTAAAAATACGGTTTTAAAAAATATATACATTTTTATTTTTTTATATATATATATATATATATATATATATATATATATATATATATATACACAGAACAAAAATATCGCATACTTTAATGTATACTTAAGTGTGAATTGAATGTAATGTTTTCAGACACTTCATTGCAATTAAATTGTTTTTTATTAAAATTTATATTAAAAACAAATATTTTTCTTATACTGTATATATATATACACTGAACAAAATTATAAACGCATCACTTTTTTTTGCCCCCATTTTTCATGAGCAGAACTCAAAGATCTAAGACTTTTTCTATGGACACAAAAGGCCTATTTCTCTCAAATATTGTTCACAAAATCTGTCTAAATCTGTGTTAGTGAGCACTTCTCCTTTGTCGAGATTATCCATCCACCTCACAGGTGTGGCATATCAAGATGCTGATTAGACAGCATGATTATTGCACAGGTGTGCCTTAGGCTGGCCACAATAAAAGGCCACTCTAAAATGTGCAGATGTCTTACACTTTCCTCTACTTCTCATCTGCAGATCGCCGTTCACAGATAGTTGTTTCCTGAGCAGTCCCCTGTGCTCTGAGATGGTGGACGTACAGTGGTACGGGCACGAGAAGGCAAAGCCGGGAACGCTCGTCTAAACCCTCATCCCTCTCTCTTTAAAAGAGTGTTCAGAAGGCAGGCCTGACCACAGTCTGGACCTCAACTCATCTGAAAACACCTATGGCTGGAGCCAGTACCACCTCGCCCTCTCCTTCCTCTCTGTATATCCGGCGGTACAGTGCTTATGAACTATGGGAATACAAGAGTCTGAATGAACTGAGCTTGACCTTGTCTGACCCTCCCACTCTGACTTTTGAACTTTGACCCAGTTAGCTGGGAGCCGGTTCCTCCGTATGCACAAACCCTCCGTGTTTAATCCATCGCTGGATTGATGTGCATAAGAGAGACGTCTTATGCCCGTTGTAGTATAAGTGAACCCCACTCATGCACACACATGCTAAAATAGTCGTTCGCCCCCTGCTGTCGTGTGTGTCCCTCTGCACTGGTGTCAGAGAGCCGGCACCATTCTCTCTCATGCACATGACATGCACAAAAAAACATTCCAATGAATAAACATTTGTAGAACTTTGTTCTTAGTTCTGTTAAAAAACAGTATGTGACCACAAGCCCCACCTTCATACTACAGCGCCCCTTCTCATTGGACCGGAGTGCATTATAAGCCCCTCCCACTGTCTGGGAACTTTGATATTTTGTGAATAACAATAGAGCATTTAAAAAAGGCAGAAGCCTTTCTTCGGTCGTTCTGGATTGGAAGATGAGCCCCAATATAATATCGCTCATGATTATGACGTCACAAGAATGTCATGTCGAGAAAATTCAAAACATTGTAGTCTTTGTGCGTAATGTTGATTTGTCATTCTCAAGTTCATCGATTCTGGTCCAGGAAGTTCAGCCATTTTTACAAAACATTAGCTAATTTAGAAGCCATAGCTGTAAAACAAATCTGAAACGTTAGCTTAGAGGCATTAGCATGACCCTCGGCTTTGAGTGACTAATCTGTGAAGTACTGCAACTCAGGCTGCAACCGGCAACTCGCCACCATGGTGCTCTGAGCTTGAACTGCACATCCCACAATGCCCTGCTGTATGCCCACACTGCATGAACAGCCACAAACCCCCGCATATAGTGATGTGACATCAGTGAAGTAACGAGACACACAAAAAACCTTCTTTAAACACCCCTGGCCTTATCGGTTTTCTGTTTTTATGTATGTTTTTAATTCAGGATTTTACTTAATTATAACACCACTATGACATTACGTTCGTATTTATAAAACCGTCAAAAGTCAGATGAGCACAACGCAACGTGGCACACCGACACAATATTTGAACGAAAATGACATTACCTCTTCCCTGAGGCTTTCAGGAGAACAGCATTCCAGAATGTGACGTGATTAAAGCAGGTGCTTAATTTTAAAAGCAGCCGGTGTGAAACCATAAACTCAGACAATACAGGGTTTTTAATGCTTTTATCACGCAGTCAACAAGATCCGAAACCACGTGTGCCCCTCACCTCGATCGTCTGACCGAGGAAACATCAAGCCATAATGCTAAAGACCGCATTTGTCACATATTCTGCAAGATAAGAAACATCGTACACGCAAAGTACCTTAAGAAACCGGTAGCTAAAAGCACACCCTGTGCCGTTACAACTCAACAGATCTTCAAAAAGTCCGTAGTTTGTGCATTAACATAAGCAGTCATTACAAATGTGTATTTGAAAGGGTCCAAATCACCAGACATTAAATCTAAAAGTCATCCGATTCATGTTCCATGAAGGGCCTAGAAGTAAACCAGACGGTTTTATCTGCCCTAAAATTGATTGTTCGTTATTTCTGTGCATGCTCAGCACACTGTGTTATGCATCTTGATGTTAAAATTCAAACCCGGTGTAAAAACAGCCCTTCATTTAGAGGTCGTTCAGACCTCATGTCTTCTTAGGCCAATGTGAGCTCACTCCTCTCGTCTACCTGTACACTTTATCAAAAACAAAAATCTTTTTATATAAAAAAAACAACTAACACATTTATCAACATTTATAGGCAGGACTGTGGAAACTGGGTTCTTTTAAAAAAGAAAACGTAAAACCATTCATTTAATGATTTTTATAAATCAGTATTCGTTTTATTTTCAGGTCTTTAAGCTGGGAAATAGCAACGACAAGTTCAGGTGCTACAGGAAGACCAGTTACTGCTTTGGTTTCCTAGCTGTAGACTTTTCCTAACTGTTGTCAATAGTTTTAATGCCAGTCGTGCAAAATGAAGGACATTAGTTACTAAACTGTCTTCTCACTTCGTCTTGACAATAGAGCATGTTTCATGAGTTCATTTTCAGACATAACCGGACAAAATAAAATGGTGTTGTAGAAAAAAATAAAGTGGAATTGTTGGGCGGGTTAAATATAAGCAAATTCCACAGTTAATTTATTCTTTTTTCTATTAAGAATTTGTATAGTAACATTTTTCAAAAAACGTGTTGTTGGCAACTGATACTGAATTTTCCAGATGAGAAATGTGGTGGTTCTTGAGATCCTGAAATAAATTATTGCTAAATGTTCTCTAAACCAAAGCCTGAAATCACTTTATTGCTATTATTCGCATGGTTAATGTATATATATTGTTATTCATAACGCAACATGCTGCTTCAGGTGGATGAAGGTGATGATCTGCTTCCTCCAGGCGTAATTCAAATTCTTCCGCATGTCACCTTTGTGGATTATGTTCCTGCATGTGGAATGAGATCAGCCGCAGGTGAAGCTGACAATCACACCCGCTGATTGAAATACCAAGTCCATGAAACTGAAATTTGATTTGCCAAATCTGAATCTTGAGATCCTGAAATAAATTATTGCTAAATGTTCTCTAAACCAAAGCCTGAAATCACTTTATTGCTATTATTCGCATGGTTAATGTATATATATTGTTATTCATAACGCAACATGCTGCTTCAGGTGGATGAAGGTGATGATCTGCTTCCTCCAGGCATAATTCAAATTCTTCCGCATGTCACCTTTGTGGATTATGTTCCTGCATGTGGAATGAGATCAGCCGCAGGTGAAGCTGACAATCACACCCGCTGATTGAAATACCAAGTCCATGAAACTGAAATTTGATTTGCCAAATCTGAATGCTGCTTAAAAATATGCATTTGTATGTCATGTCACAGAAAACATTAATAATTTTAATGGGGCAAAAGAGAAAGAAAATAGTTTTGCTTTGATCCTTCATTCAAGGTCACACATACGGGATGTCCTGTTTTGGATAGCAATTACAAAGTTATTTATTTTTATTTTTTACTTTTTTATATATATTTTTGTCTTACCATAAATATACACGCATATTCACAAAAACTGACAGTTGAAAGAATAAAATTATAATATTAATTATAAAATGTAATTAAAAATAAAATAGCTTTTAGATTTAATTTAATATTATATTCAAAGGTAAATAAATAATGATTGACCTGTGACATTTGACGAGCACAAAACTGTTATTTTTTGAGAACAATGAACAAACGTTTGATGTTGACAGAAATCATTAACGTCTACCACCCACAATTCAACATTTAAGGATTTAAGGACTGTTTACATTAAGTAATGATCACATATTATGAATGCATGTGATTCATCCATCACAACATGCACTCCAAATCACCCTCCAGCTCTAATAGCACCTGCTGATACTTAAAGCTTAAAGCATTTTACCCTGCAATTTTCCAGTGGATGTGTGTATTTGTGTTTGTCTATAAGTGTGAGTCTCCTGCAACATTTACTCATACGTTCCACACCTACTGTCAGACTCGGATGTGCATGGAAACAGAGAAACCCTTTCACAAGCATATATATTTATATATCATGTTCCCTTTACAAACAGTCAAATATTTTGTCAGAAGGTGTTGCTCCAGGTTTGAGGTCAGTGACAAAACATTGGGTCTCAAACACCAGTCTTTATTTGCATCTGTTTTCTACATAAAAATAGCAGAATACATAAAGCACACAAGTCATATGGACCAGAGTTATTTTAAAATTATTTCTGTATTATAGTATTTATTCAAATTTATATTTGCTTTTATTTTAATATTTTCAATTTTAGTTTAAGTTCAAGTAATTGTGTTGTGTGCATTTTTATTTTGGGGGTTTTAATATAGATTTTCTTTTTTTTTCCAGTTAATGGTTTTAGTCATTTTAGTCCTGAAACCTGTTTCAGTTAGCTACCAAGCCAACATTTCTATTCCTTAATTAATATTTACATTTATTTTATTTTATTTTAGATTTTACTTCATCTTTCATCTATCTTTATGTTCCACGGAAGAAAGAGAATCATGTTTGGAACATCAAGGGTGAGTTAACGATTACTTTTAACTCTGATTGCAGACATGCAAGTAATTCTCATAAGTCCCTGTGACCACTTCCTGTCTAAGGACTCTATATGCGATGCCTACTAAGGTTCTGATCAGCTCCCTGCAGTCTTCTTGAATGCTGTTAATATGACTCACAGGTTTTGTGCCATCGTCCCACAGGAAGTGAGTATGTTTGTGCCTTGGACAATGGCTTGGGGTCTCCCCCGGCAACAGGAACACAACACTGAAGATGTGGCCGCTACTATTGTGCTGGCGGTCAAGCCAGAGTGATGCTGGAGATGTGTGTTTCGGGGCAGCTGAGTCTATTGTACCTACTGCAGCTGGAATGTGAACAACAAGAGACGCTGTGTTTATAGAAATCTTCCATTTCCTGTGAAGCTCAGTGGATGCTTTGTTGAATGAAATATTTTCGACACTGAATCCATGACATTCCCCTGCTGTGTGTGTGAAGGGCTTGAGGAACCCCGAGGAATGTTGTTTTCAGTGAACATGGAAGCTTGACTTCATAGGGCATCACTGTGACCCTTAGTATGGAGGGTCAAGGCATTTGGAGTTATTTTGGAGAATTGTTCAAATTTGGCAGCTGACTATAGGCCAAAATAAACAGCACCACTGCTATCAGTTCAAGGACTGGTGGGATGTAGTATTGAAAGATCTGGGCTTGAAACCAGAAGGTAGGTGGTTCATTCTCCACAAGAAATGATTCATGAACCATTAACATTGTGCCCTTGAGTAAGACACTTAACCCTAAGTTACTCGAGTCCAGGAAAACCAAACCTTGTCCAAACTAGCACAACATAATAAAACAACGTCTCTCTGAGGTAAATCAGATTTACTGATTTTAATTTTAATTTGAAATTATGATTTTCATTTCAGTGATTCATTCTGCAAGTATTCTTTCTGAATCATCCATTCAAACCTAAACATAGATTCACTGAGAATGAAAAAAGAAACTACTGCCACTGATCTATATAAATGACTTTTATCATATACTCTACTATATTGTATTCTCTGATCAATATTATATACAGTGATGGGGAGTAACTAGTTACAAGTAACATAGTTACGTAATTTAATAAAATAAATGTAACTAATCTGTAACAGTTACTGAGAAAAAAATGAGTAATTATTAAATTAGTTACTTATGAAAATGTTAACAATTACAAAGGGGGTTATATCTGAATATTTCCACACACATACAAACTTGATTGATTTATTTCCCAAATTGCACTGAATGCTCTAAAATGTGAGACGCCAATGTTTCAGGAGTGTAGGACACATACGTAAACCCACATCCTATTTGGGTTTACGTATATGTTTGAATTATTTAAAGGGGTCATTTGATGCGATTTCGATTTTTTCTTTCTCTTTGGAGTGTTACAAGCTCTTGGTGCATAAAGAAGATCTGTAAAGCTGCAAAGACTAAAGTCTCAAATCCAAAGAGATATTCTTTATAAAAGTTAAGAGTCAGCCACGCCTACCTAAAACGCCTCGTTCTAACACGCCCCCACATACCTACATCACTATGTGGAAAGATTTGCATAACTGATCTTGTTTATTGTGCTGTTTATTGAACTTGTTTATTGTGCTGTTAAACACACTAGCAACCAAATATATCGACCATAACATTTTTAGAAGACGAGACAAAATAGAAGACAACTAACGTACGGCCTCTACTTTACGGCGTCTATGTCTTTACGTTACTTTCCAGCATATGTAGTCACTAATAATTCATGTGACGCATAAATCCCCACACACTCGCTATCCCATGCTAAGAAAGCCCATTATGAAGGTAGAATGACGTCAAAACGATTTGCATACGCAGGGTAATGACTTGTTGTGCATGTGGGGCAAAAAGTTCCCGAAATAAACCAATATGTACATCTACACGTCTTTCTTTTCTCTGCACTTACAATTTTGGCACGATTCTCTCACTAACTCGGGATGGGCGTATCGATCCGAAGTATCGATATATCGATACTGACGCGAGTATCGAAAGTATCGATACTCAAACAAAAAATATCGATACTAAGGTGCGTTTTATTTACCAGTGGTTTTGTTTATTTAACAAAAATAATAATAATAATAATAATGCGTACAATATGCATTGAATTGGACGAATAACCTTTGTTAGCGACCATAAACATTACAATTGTGACTGACCATAAACTTTTTCACAC